TCCAGTCGAGCATTGATGCCAGTCTGAACCCAAGCATTCTGTTCCCATAGCCTCCAAAACCTCAGTTGTAGGAAGCAGAACTTTGCTCACAAGAAGGGTTTTCCTTCACCCACACACCCTCAAAACTGGGCTACTGCCTTGTGGAGACAGGCCTTCTTTTGGCAACCCTGTGTCTGTAGTCTCCAACTTGGCTGCTTCACCACTGCAAAAATTCCAGAGTCTCTGGTGGTTTTCCTGTGTCTCTGGTAGTGGCTTCCTGCCAGAACCCAAGATGGGATTCACATGCTCTGCCAGGCTCAGAAGTGCTGAGGGTTCCCACCAGGTGAAAAGTGACAGTGGCTTTTCAGGACCAATTCGCTGCCCTTCTATGGTCTGCATGGGTTGCCTGTTGCATTTCATGTCCCCTCCTCAGAGTCCTGGTCTCCTAAGCCCTGGGAAATGGGAGGATTTAATGCAGCTCTCAATGTCTGAGAAGAGAGACTCTGCACACTGAGCCCCGCAGTTTTCAGAATTCAGCAGTACATCAGGGAGAATTTAGGTGTGATGTCCCAACCCCACACAACACACAGAAAACTACTAAAACATGAAACCTTTCCCTCCTCTTCCTCTTCTCTCTCCAATCCTCTCCCTTCCTTTCCTGACATTTTTATGTGCCCTTTAATGCTATTAGACACAAAGGAAATCTACAATTTCAGATTATTGGCACAAGTCTTGCTGTTGATCATAGAATGGCTCAAGGCTAGTTTTGAGTACAAGCGTGAGAGCATATGAACTTTCAGAGTGTCTGTATTAGTCACGCTCTTTAATGCTATGACAGGATATCTGAAAGGGGAAAAAAATCAGCTTTAGGGGAGTAATTGTTTGGCCCTCAAGGTTTTGAGGATTCAGTTCATGGTTACTTGGTCCTTTGCACCTGGCAGAACAGTATAGTGCAGGAGCATGCTCACCTCATGACAGACAGACAGTGGACAGACTGATGAGCCGATGATGGACAGACAGATGGACAGAGGGATAAACAGAGGGGGAGATTTTTGGAGAGCAGAGCTCTACCATAGCCTTCAAGGTGCTTTGGATTATTTTTAATGGCATCAATCTCTTTAACAACCATATCCTCCTTGTCCTCAACTTTAAACATGCCTCTTTCTGTAGCTAGTCTGCACATTTTCTCCATCTTTCTTTTTTCTTTTCTATTCTTTTCTTTCTTATTTACTTATTTATTTTGAGATAGGGTCTTTCTACATAGCCCCGACTGTCCTGGAACTTAGTATGTACATTAGGCTTTAAACTCAAAGAAATCCACCTGCCTCTACCTCTTGAGTGCTGGCATTAAGAGGGTGCCCCATCTCACCTAGTTAGGATGTATGTTTTCAAATCTTTTTACTCCTGATTCTCATTGTAAATGTGGCTAAAAGCAGCTAGTAACAACCATGCCACAGTTTGTACATGTGTTGTGTTCACATTTCCTCTGGAATGCCAGACCTGGTTCCACAGTTCTCTCAGCTACTCAGGAAGCTGAGGCAGGAGGATTGTGACTTTAAGATTTTCCTTGGCTACAAAACAAGTTCAGGGCCTGCCTGGGCATCTTAGTGAAACCCTATGTCTTAGTTTAGGTTTCCATTGCTGTGAAAAGACACCATAACCAAGACAACTCTTATAAAGGACAACATTTAATTGGGACTGGCTTACAGTTTCAGAGGTTTAGTCCATTATCGTCATGATAGGAAGCATGGCAGTGTGCAGTGAGACATGATGCTGGAGGAGTGGAGAGTTCTACATTCTCATCTAAAAGTAACCAGGAAGAGACTGTCAAAGCCCACCCCCACAGTGACACACTTCCTCCAATAAGGCCACACCTATTCCAATGAGGACACACCTCCTAATAGTATTACTCCCTGTGGGCCAAGCATTCAAACTCTGAGTGTATGGGAGCCAAACCACTATATCCTAGTTCAAAAAAAGAAAAGTTTTAATGGAGAAAAAGGATTGTGGATACAGTTCAGTGGTAGGGTACTTACTTAGTATGT